TGCCGTGTGCATGGCCGATGATGGAACGTTTTATTGCAGGTTGTTCTTTTAAATTGCCTTCCAAAGTGTTTTGATAACCTTTCTTTTGTAAACCGTGATGTTTTGATTGACTGGTTCTTCGCCCGACACAAGAATTTCGAGAATCTGTAGGCGTTCAATCAAAAATGATCTTTCACGCGTAAAGGTTAGCTGCCATTTGAAGCAAGTCAGTTTTCGAGCAGATAAAAGCGCGCAGGAAATTCATCTCACTCAGGCAATGCTACTCGCTGGTCGAAGATGAAAGCTGTTTACAGAAACATATGGTAACAAAAGACCACTAAACTATATTTCATCGCTTCATTTTGCTGCCATGGCCGCCCTTCCAGAAAGCCGACGCAACAATTCAAGCATTAATCCTCTGGACCTTTACTCTGGGCTTCCTTCGACCAGTCCAGTATACCATGATCTGTGCGAGGACTCTGCGGCTTTTACTACTTCACCAGTTTCTGCGGTTGTCGCGTCATGCTACGCAATTCTGATACCACTAACAGTACTGGGAAACGGTTCTGTAATTGCAGCATTTGCGACAAATGGCAGGCTAAGAACTGCCACAAGCTTTTTCATCGTTGGCCTTGCCGCCAGTGATTTGTTAGTGGGTACTTTTGCGGTGCCCTTTTGGACGTTTGTCGTGTCGCACGACAATATCATGGCTGGTTACTGTTTCTCGACTTATGCAGTGTACATCAGCTTTGATGTTTTTGCCGGCTGCGCTTCCATTTTACAGCTCACTTCTATCGCACTCGAGCGATTTATCTCGGCGCAGTGGCCGTTGATTCATCGCAAAATGCCTCGACGTGTCTATTGCGCCATGATTTTTGTAGCATGGCTTAGTGCCACTGTTATGGCCGCCTTGCAACCCTTGCAAGCAAGAACGCCACGTTGGCGGGAAACCTACACCATATTTTTATTTCTCACCTACTTCTGCTTCCCGCTTGTGATAATCGTGACTTGCTATTGCTATATTTTCAAGATCAGCAGGTTTCAAGCTAGGAGACGTCTTTCGAGTTCCTCGACGCGCTGCGGGCACACTCCTGGAGGGGCCATTAAGGAATTAAACGTCGCCATTACCGTGGCAGTGATAACAATCCTATTCATAGTCGCTTGGCTGCCTTTCTTCGTGGTCACAGTCATTGCGACGTTTTGTTTGTCGTGCCTACCGTCCCCACAGGGACTGTTACACCTAGTTAAGTTTCTGAAATTCTTGCAATACAGCAGCAGTGCTGTTAATCCTTATATCTACGCCTACAGGAACACTGAAATGCGGCGAACATTGGCGAAAATTGCCAGCAAATTTTTACCGTGCGATGTGGGCTTGGCAAGGACAAGAAATATAGTTGGCCAATCCATTATGCAAGGTCAGGCTCAGGAGCGTCAGCAATCCATTTCGTTAAGGAATGTTATTTCTTCCGAAGAAAGACGCGTTTTTGACGAGAAAATACAAGATAAGACCCCAACAAAACCACCAAAGAAACGCAAAAAGAAAACAGTTGTAATTTATTTGTAACGTCTTTCATTTAATTGGTTCCTGTTTTACACAGCAATTTTAAAACTTTGGTTCGAATTTATCGATGAGCTCTCAAAAGATAAAAAAGTATCATAGAGTCTCTTATGAGTTTAATATATACAGATCTTTATGATAGGGTTAGCTGAAAGTGTTTATTTGTTTATCTAATTACAAAGGTAAAAGTTGGTTATCGAGGAGAAAATGAAACTGTTTTAAAACATGATGGCAATCCTAACTTTCAGAGAGTTGTGAAATAAATGGAATATCAAGTTTCGTATTTACTTACTTTACTCTCACTTAGGTCATATCTAATCATGAAAAACTATAGCTATTTCGATTTGAACTCTGTGTTATTGTCCCCTCAAGGAGACATTTAAAATATGTAAATCATTTTCATTTCAGCACATGCTTTACAAAAATTGTTCTAGACTCTTCGATTAAAGTCTTCTCTTGTCAATTGCATGTTATTTTTGGTTCAGTGTATCGATCTTGAGATCAGTTTAAAGCAGGCGCTGTTAATAAAGCTGGATGTTTAAAGCTAAATTGTTTGTTTTAGCTAACAATCGTTGTCTTTGTGACTGACAATAAGCAGAGTTCATTAACAACCGCTTACGTCTTAACTAAGTTGTTTTCAAGCCGTTAATCACCATAACAAAACTATTAATAGCCGCATTTCCTTATGACTCAGCAATCAGGTGACGTCATGAATCCCATTTTAAATATTCACTAAATCACGGCGATCAGAACAAGTCGATGGGCAAGGTAAAGTCTGCGTACGATTCTAACCTAGTGTCCCATCAGGCCGATGCGTGTATCCAATTTTCATAGCATAAAGCGACTAGGAGTATTTCTACTCCCCCCTTAATGGATGCTAATTTTTCTAAGGGTTACCCCCAGCATTAAATTTGCTAGTATCCATTTATACACCTAGGTAGAGAGAGGCACTGTGAGAGTAAAGTGTCTTTCCTAAGAAAACAGCAGAATGACAACGATCAGGAAGAAATACTCCTAGAAGTAGAAATACTCCTTGTTACTTGGCCACTGGCCTGATAAAGCCTTTTTTCTTTAGTAGATCAAGAACAACGTTTTATGATGTGGCTCCATGAGCGGGCAAGATGAACCAAATCCTGTGCTGTGAGTGGCTGTAATCATACCCACTCGGGACCACCCGCTGTGTCCCGCAAGAAAAATTTCTCTGAAGACCGTATAATAAATCCTTTATTGACCACTTTTTGCGAGTTTATGGACCTTGACTCCGTCTTGGTCCATAAACAAGCAAACTTGGCCAATATCCAGCCATCTTAACCTCACGCTCGGTCAATAACCCATATGTACGTCAAGACGATCGAGCGTAGTAACTGGTATTAACTTTTCTCTTCATCATTTCTTTCATTTTGAGAAAATCTGACTCTGGTCACGTGCGATAAGCACTCGAAATGGAGAATAAAAAAGTGATAAAACAGCTAATGTGTTTATACCAAAATTAATGAGTTTTCGTGATTGCCTCTGTTAGTGACGCTGGTTTAAGCATTCCGTTTTCATTCATGTATAACTCACCAGGGTCATAGTGTGGGAAACAGTCACTGGACAATTCGCCTCCCCGGCGCGCTAGCCCTTTTCCGGTCTTTTTTGCGCTGTTTTTGAGTCCGTGATTTTGGTGAGAACTTTATCACGATAAAGTTTTACTCATGTGTTTCAAATTTGGTTAATTTGTTGTGTAAACGTTTCACAACTGATCTTTTCAAGCCATTTTTCGACCAATCAATAGCAGGGGAACTTGTTAAAATTCAATCAAAATATTAGTTTTTGGACCACAAGAAAACTAGTGTAAATATAATTTTTTTAATAAACGTTTCGGCTTTTTGTTAGTAGAATTTACAGGTGCTATGTTTAAACCTCCTTCTATGTGAAGTATTTAAAAAAAAAAAAAAAAAAAAAAAA